TTGGAACTGTGATCCTCGGACCTCAGCCTCCTGGGTAGCTGGGATTACAGGCATGAGCCACTGGCACCTCTGCAAAGAGGCCCCTTTCGATGTTCATGTCATCTCATTTGCTCACATTTAGATCTAGAGTCTGCATGCGACAGAAAACAGGCCACATTTGTTTTTTTAATCTGTGTCTTCCTCCTCCTCCTCCTCTTTCTCTTCCTCCTCCTTCATTTGCAGGGACCTGGGGCTTGAACTCAGGGTCTTTTGCTTGGCCAGCTAGTACTCCACCAGAGCCCTGTCCACCACCTTCCCTCCCTCCTGTCAATCAGTGTTCATTGAGCACTTACTATGTACACACACACACACACACACACACACACACACACACACACACACGGTTTTAGGCATGGGAAACAATAATGAACAAAATAAACCAAAATAAATTGCTGCCTTATATTCTGGAAGAAAAAAAAAGAAAGAAAATAACTGAACACAATATATACTGAGTCCTGAGGGCTTTGTGACGGGGAGAAGGGTGTGCAAATGTCCTGAGGTGGAGGGGGTGTGAGGAGTCTAGGACTAGAGGCCAGGGTGATGAGAAGGGAATGGAGGATAAACTGAGGTACACACAGGGTAGGCGCTCTCTTACCCCTATTTTAGACTGGGAAACTGAGGCAGAGAGAGAGAAAGATAAGCTGTGGCTTGCCCAAGGCCTCCCAGCCAGAAATCGAAGTGTCGGGTCCACCAGGGCCTCGGTGTGAAGTGAAGGAGCTCAGCCGATCCTTCCCCTGCATGCGTGGGACCGGAAGTGAGATGAGGTCAGGCCCCGCCCCAGGTTGCACAAGGCTCTGAGGTGGCGCGGTGTGGCACAGTGAGTGGAGCCGGGCAGCCAGCTAAGTGGTGGGATTAACTCCAGACCAGGGGAGAGCCACCTTCCCATTGTTCCAGGGAGAGGAAGAGGAAGGGGCGTGGGCCAGGTGGAGGCCAGGAAGTGGAGGCCGCACCCTCCTCCTAGTAGCTTCTATTTTTCAGGGGTCAGGGGGTTGAGGATGCTGGGGATGGGGTGATAGGCAGACACGGGGGGCGGGGGGCATCATCTCCAGCAGGCCGGACAGAGGCAGAGAAAGTGCCCGGGCTGGAGGGCAGCCTCGGGAGGCCAAGGATCTGTGGGTGACCACAGAGAGCCACGGAGGGCGGGTGGCGTCCTATGGTGAAGGACAGGCATGAGAGGCATGACGGAAGCGGAGGGAGGCTGTGGTCAGGCTTGGTGTTGGCAGACGTGCTGGGTGGGGGCGTGGGAAGAGCACTCCGGCCAGGGTACAGGGGTCCTCTCTTACCAAGCACAAACATCGAAACCACCAGCGTCACACTGAATCCTCAGAAAAGTTAGTCAACGTTACAGACGCTGGTGCCCGGGTGTGGCCGAGGAAACCAGGGTTAGGGCTGAAGTGGTTGGGCAGAGGTGGCAGAGCCGGGATTTGAACCCAGAATGTCTGGTTGCTAAACACCCAGCCAGTAGCCTGGAAGGGATTGGAGTGAGCGCAGATAATTTATAAGAGGGACAAACAGACCTCCCTCTGTCCTCCCTGGGGTGGAGGTGGGGGTTCTGGGAGGAGCAGCTTTTCATACTCTGTGTCTCAGTGCTGCCAGGGGGTGCCCACCTCGTCCCCCACTTCACAAGTGAAAAGACAAATGAGGCCAGGTGCCCCAGACTGCGTGGTGAGCAAGTGACAAGAGGCAGGATTTGAACCCGAGCCCGCCTGGTTCTGTACCCCCGTTCCACCCCTGCCAGGTGGCCCTGAAGTGGCCCAACCTATCTGGCTCATCTCTTAGGCATACATCGTGGGTGAACACCCCATATGCCCCCAGTGCCAGCTGTTGTGCCCGTGTCCTTTCTATTTCCAACATCCACCCCACCCCATTTCTCCTTTAAGCCCTCCCCATGGTCCCCCGTCTTCCCTCAGCTGCCTGGCTCGCGAGCTAGGTGCAGTGTGACTTCTCCTTGGCTCTTTTCACCTCCAGCTTTGGCAGTTTGTCACTCCAGCTCCAAAATAGAGCAAGGATTCCGCCCACTTATCTCCTCTCGGCCTCCCTCCAGCCAAGCCAACCAGCCTTATCTCTGGCCTGGGCAGGTGCAAGAGCATCCCAACTGGTCGTGCGGCTTCTGTGCTCGACCCCCTCCCCCACCTTCGCACCCCCTGCCATGGAAGGTGGCACCCCAGGGGCTGGAGCCTCACGTCCAGTCCTGTTGAGGCCTGTCCCAAAGCCAGGTGAGGGCCCAGCTGGGACTGAAATCAAACCCAACTGCCCCAGGGCCGGCGGTGGGTAGCAACTTTCCATCAGCCACAGACCCTCCTCTGATGCCCAGGCTGGCATCTCCCTACTTCAGGGCCTGGGTCTTGGCTATTCCTCCTGCCCAACACACACGCTTCCCTCCACTCCACCCTTCACATCTCAGCGTGAAAGTTCCTCTCTCCATCATCATCTTCACAGCTGACATCTCAACTCCTTCCCCACGCTTCATTTTAATTGGTAATTGCTTTGCTCGCCTGCTTCCTTGTTTGTTGCTGGGTTTTTCTCTCATTGGCACCTAGCCAAGTTGGACGCCCCTCATGTTTTATTTATTGCCTTTCTTACTCAGACAGATCAGTGAGTGTCAGCTTTTACAGGACAGGATTTGCCCTGCACCCTGGCTGGCAGTAACCAGCCATGTACGAAACACGATTCTCACTGGGGCTGGGTGAGGGCAGGGTGCTTGCCTGCTTCGTTCGCTGCTAGATCCGTGGTACATGGTCTGGCACCAGGCACGAGGCAGGGACCATGGGAATCGGCTGAGCCAGTGGGATGATCTAGGAGCCCAATTCCCGGAGTCTCAGTGGTCCCTGTTTCCCACTGACCCAGCCAGGGGAGAGCCCACAGAGGTGGCAGGTGGCAACATCTACCTTCCAGACCCTCCAGAGGAGAGAATGCTCCTGACCTTGGTCAACAGGCAGAAAGGGTCCTTGTCCTGTGCAGGGTTTCTGTCTTTACAAGGCCACATCCCGGCCGGCCCTCCTGCCCTCAGCAAACTCTTCAAGAGTTCACAATGCTGTCTGTGGGAAAACACCTTCACTTCAGTGGATCTCTAGGACTGACACAATCTTTGAATTCCTGTTGTTCTTTCCATCCTGAGCACCCAGAGGGTCTGCACTTCTTCCTCGGTGAGCACGTTTTCTCCCTTGGGCAGTACTGGGGGTTGAACTTAGGGCCTCGGGTTCCCTAGGCAGACACCTTACCCTGGAGCCACTTCTGGTCTTTTGCTCTTCAGATTTATTATTTTTTTCAAATAGAGTATCACACTTGTACCTGGGCTAGCCTCATACCTATGGTCCTTCTCTCCTTCACCCTGCCTTGCAGAGCTCTGCCTCAATCAATGTGGGGAATATGTGAACCAGCCCAGGGTGGCCCAGGGTCAAAGGTCCCCTTGTTCTCCTGGTACAGATACCTGCGGAGGTAGCAGAATGCCTCAACCCTGGCAGCCTTGAAGCCAATGGCCGCCTGGTGCACAGGCGGTGTCATGGTGCCCCCTTGTGGCCACAGCTGTGAACTGCACTTTCCCATTTGGGCTGGTGGCCCTTTAAGCCCCAATGCCAGGGGGCTTTAACCATCCCTGGCCCTCCTCAAGTTCAGAGTTAAATGCAAAACCGCATCTGTAATTGGTTCTCCAGGCTTCCAGCAGGCTGCAGAACAAAAGGAGCAAGAACCCCCTGTCCTCTCAAGGGCTGCTGGTGCGCCCTTGAGTGTCATCTCCTGCTCTGGGGGCCCCCACCTGCCCATTATCACCAGTCTCCTCACTGAACCAGAGGCAGGTTGCTTCTTGGGCACACGGGCATGGCCTCAGCCATCTTCCCTCAGCTCTGTACTGAGGATTGAGCTCAGGACCCTGTATATGACAAGACCCCGGCTCTACCTCTGACCTTGCTCGTCTCCCATGGCCTCTGATCTGGCCGCCTTGGGTGGCTCTCTCCAAGGCTGGACAAATTTGTTCTCACATCCTGGCTTTCGGGGTGAGGTTCCTCTGCCCAGGGAGCCCTCTCCCCTGCCAGCGGGTTACAGGCTTCTAGGCTGCCTTTTATGCCATCTCTGCTCCAATGCCTATGGCCCAGATGCCAGTTCAGATTTCAGGGGCTCCTGGAGGCTTCCTCTTTCCCCATGCCCCCCTTCGAAAAAAGCTGGGACAGTCGCTCCTCTCCGGTGTTAAATATTTATTTGACAACTGCTAAGTCTCTTGCAGACTGTCAGTCCAGAGGGCGGTGGGCAGGCCCCTTGAACCAGAGCCCTACACACATACAGCAAGTGCTGGAGGGACACTTGGATGGTGATGCTGATGCTGTTACTGGCAACCTGGAGAGGCTGGACATTGGTCCTGCCCACCAGCCCTATGGAACACAAGGGTCTGGGAGTGTCCCTGGCCAGGGCTGGGTGGGCCAAGGGGGCAGTGTCAAGGCAGGATGATGGGAAAGGTGCACATCTCTGAGAAAGATTCAGGCCAGTATCCGGGACGTAGGCTGAGAGCGAGTCCCCAGGGAAGGCGGAGGAGCTCACCCCCTCCAGAGCCTCTCGCTGCGACCTGGGACTCGGGACTGGAGGGCCATGGTGGCCTCCTCCACCTCCTGCCTTCCATTCCCCCCAACAGTGTGCACCCCGAGGGTGGAGCTGGCTCCATTTCCAATGCTGTTATTGGAGCCCAGCAGCCTCCTCCACCCTCGAGGGAACATGGAGACCCGGAAGGGGTGGAGCCATCCCCCCCCCCCCACGGCTGCTCCATCAGCTCCATCTGGAGGGCAAGGCGGGACGAAGTGCAGGTGTCGGCAGATGGTGCTCACTGTTCGCATCCTGTGACTGTGTTTACCTTTCTGGGGGCAGACTGGGCCAGATCCAGCCGTCCAAGCCCCACCGAGGGGCTCAGTGAGCAGCCCTATCCCACGTGGATCCAGCTGTTCGGCCCGTGCTTCCCCCCTTGGACCCAGGCGGCATCACACCGGGCCCAGAGCGGCTACAGCCCCGTCTCCATCCTCACCTGGGCCCACAGGGACCGGAGAAGCCGCAGGGCCGGCCTTGGTCTCAGCGGTGGCGGCAGGGGTGCACCCCGGCTCCCCATTACCCGACGCTCCATCCTCCGGCCCCACCTCGCCCAGCCCCTCGTCTAGCCCGCGCCGGCCCTTGCCGATGGCCAGGCGCGGGCGGCCGCGGTTGAGGC